GTTTACAAGCTATCGCTGGCTCTATAAAACTATATGGCTGCCAATTCGGTTTCAGATTCCCCCAGTTGGCGGTGCCTAAATGACAATTTGTGGTCGGTTTTATATGCGATCGAGCCAGTTGTGTAAACAGCTAACCGATTGGCAATTAAATGTTTATGTCGTTTCTCACACTTCGAATGCAATTTGAGATTTTTTGCTGTTGATCGAAATCGAAACAAGATTCGAGAAAGCGTGTATAGTATATATCTCGTGGCCAGAAACGATGTAGATAACAGTTTGGAACCGTTTGAGTGGCCATAAATGGCGCGTGCAGCATTAACCGTTATGTCAACTCAAAATTTAACTGATTTATAGCGCTGGTCCAAAAGAACGGTTTTCATATAAGCCCGAAAAGACCAAAAGCCGTTAAAATCTGGAATATAAATTAAACAAAGATGCCAAAGACAAAGGCGATAAAAGTACACCAAATACATAAGAAACAAACTGCAAAAGCAAATGAAGTACATATAAATATATGTATATGTATATAAATGTGCTTGGTGTATGTATATATGTATATGTATATATTGTCGGTAGCTGTGTGTACATAAGCAGGCAGCCAGACGCAGAGCTGGGCTAATTTAAGCGAGGACAACACCTCAACTCATATTTAAGGCCAGCTAAATCAGTGTCTATACAAGCGTGTATGTATACGTGTCTGTGTGTGTGTGTGTGTAACTTCCAGTCGCGTCCAAAGTCACCCAAAGCGATGTGGATGACGCTGACGTCGTCACCGTCGCCGACGCCGTTGTCTGTGCCTGCTTTTGGTTTTGTCTTTGTGTCTGGGCCGCAGCGCAATAAAAAAAAAAAAGAACAAAAAAGACAAAAAAAAAGAAAAAATTAAACACATAAGTAACGAAAAAAATACAATAAAATAAAATTAAAAAAAAAAAAAAAGAAAACATAAGAAGAAGCAGCAACCAAATCGATGCAGCAGCCGGCAAAAAGAATCGCAGTGTAAAGCGTGGACGCAGAGGAGCAGAGCGACGGCAACGGGGCGTATGAGTTATATCACAGAGTGAGAGAGGGAGGGCGAGGGCGAGCACACACACACAGCAGAGGCAAAGGCATTGGTGCAGTGCAGCGAAATTAAGAAACCAACAAATTCATCCAGAAAAGTAGTCAATAAAGTGTCGACAATGCGCAGAACAACAACAGCAACAACAGCAGCAACAGGAAGACGACGCAGCGACAGCAACAAACAGCGAGAACAAAACCAACAGCAGAGCCGACAACAGCGACGACCACAACGAAACCGTCAAAAAGCAGCAGGCAGGCAGGCAGGCAGCAGGCGATGCCATAAGGCAAGACCCAGACTGAAGAGGCTGTCCGATGTCGGTCGCAGCTTTTGCAACTTCGAGTTGGAGTTCGAGCTCGGTCGCATGCTCGGGTTCGCGTTCGTCTACGCATTCGGTCGACGGGGCGACGGGGAGAGAGAGTGAAAGAGTGCAAACTGGCCGCCGTCAACTCAAGTCGCGGCGAGCTGAGACGCTGGCGAGGCGAGCCGAGCGTAGCCGAGCTGAGCTCAGCCCGCCGCAAAATCAATTGAGCGATCAAGTGTCTTGAGGCGAAACAGAAGGTGGAATAAATAAAACAATAACGATGATAATGAAGTTAAAGTGAATTTTGATGAATATGCCGACGAGGCGTGGCCCAAAGAACGCCAAACACAGGCACAGACACAAACACACGAAAAGTGGACAGTCAACAATAGGGAGTTGCCCAGTGCCCAGTGCGGGGTTCCCAGTTGCCAATTGGCAGCGACCAACTGCTCCGGACATCCGGGCAACTGCTTGGCCACTCGAGACATCAAAACGGGCAGACTGCAGCGCGGATCATTGCAATTAGTTAAGCAGCCGGCAGAGTAAACCGAGAAAAGTTTTGTATGCATAAGCTGAGCATAAGCAACTCAGCGAATCAGAGAATTTCGCGATGCGGTTCATGGCTTGTGGAACTGGTTCGCTTCATGAGCAAGCAATGAGCACAGCTTTGGTCTTCTTTCCTCTTCAATGCAATAATAATAATTGCAATAATCTAAGCAGCTTGTAGAAGAAAGTGATTCACGTTCATGGAACTTGTTCACCAAGTGAACTAAGCTTTGCTGTAATTCTCTTGTAGATCAACTAATATCTAATATATGTAAATAGAGTATTGACAATCTTCTAGCTCCCAGTGTTTGTACAGATTAGATTCTCTTTTCTAGCAACTCATTCCATTCATTGTTCAAATGAGTCAATATACCCATGCTGGTTCGGTTCAGCACAGTTCATTGGCAATATTCAAATGAATGCACCTTTAAATAGCAAAACAATGAAAACAACAAAATGTGCCACAAAAACTTTCTTTGATAGCATTAGCAGCTAGTGGAGTAGCGGGGGCGTGGCAAGGTGTAAGTGAAAATGGCAGCTGTAGAAGTTTTTCTTTCTGTAATTTGAAAAGTCGACAGAGACAGCGTTAAATTTTCAATAGCCCCGCACATGGGAAAGTGTCAAAAAGTTTGTGCACGACAAGTTTTTGTTGTACAACAAGAGCAACATCCGAAGTTGTTGTTGTTGTTGTTGCTTAGCTAACTGCATATTTATAGCTCGGATAGAGAAGGGTATTTGGCAAGTCTTCAAGCTGAGCTGTTTAAAACATTTTAATGAAAATTGTTATCAAACTTGTATCACTCTGACTCTTTTAAAGTATTTATATAAAGTATTTATAGGAAATTTAACATCCTATACCATGATTACAGTTCATAATATGGGAATAAATATTTATTGGGTAATTCCCTATTTACGGGGTATATTAATATTAAAATTACTTATAGCTTAATTGCATAAATGTATACATATGTTATGTAGTCTCTTATGAAACCCTTAGGGTATTCTATGGTCATCCCGATTATTTGAATAAATACAATTTAATTAAGTCATATTTCCAGGGTATTTCATAGTTGCGTTTGCTGTTGTTCCAGTTGTATAGACAACACTCAAAGTTCGCTTGGCGCATCCTTGTCTATGTTTGGAGCGCAGCGGCAGGGTGGGCGTGGCAGCGAGGCGTATGACTTGTGACAACTTTCAAAGCTTCGAGGTCACCAAATGCACCGAGTCCTGGCTAAAGGAGAGGGCGGGACAGCAGCAGTGGCAGCAGCAGCGGTAAAAGAAGCAGAACAAGTGCAAAAACTGAAGGCATGCTACGATTATACGACATACCCATATATACTCTGCATATGTATGTGTGCTAATGTGTGTGTTTGAGCTTGTGTGTGAGCGTGTGTATAAGAGGAGTTTGATATTTCCTTTTATTGAAAATGCACTTTGGTGCCATGTAAACTTTGCAATCAAAGTCAACGGCAAAGCAGGGCGAAACGAAGGACAGAGATAGAGAGCGTGAGAGGCGGCCAAAGAGAGACAGAGAGAGCGAAAGAGGTAGAAAGAGGTGGAGCAGGAGCTAGCTAAAAGGTTGCATCTGGCAATGGACTCGGCTCTGGGGCTGGTGGGTCTCTGCCACCTCTAACGATATAATGGCAACGACCATGGCCAGACATTAGAAGCGACTGCAAATGCTGCAATTGTTGTTGTTGTTGTTACTGTTGTTGTTGTTGTTGTTGCTGCTGCTGCTGCCGCTGCTGTTGTTGTGTTGTTGTTGTTGTTGTTGTTGTTGTTGTTGCTGTCGTAGTTACAGAGACAGACACATAAATAGAAGCACCCTGACCATTACGTGGCTGGCAGTTTTGCGTTTTTGGCCTGGCTTCCTATTTTTAGTTTGCATTCCAAAACGACGTCGCCTTGCACCTACCTGCTCCTACCTGTTCTCACTGTAACTCGTTTTCGTTTTATGACTGTACTGTTGATGTTGCTGCTGCTGTTGCTGCAGCAGTTATTGCTGGTGCTGCTGCTGCTGCTGCTGCTGCTGTGGTCCTTGTCAACGTATGCCGCTTATTGCGATTGCCTCGATCAATGCTGGGATTTGTTATGGCTGGCCATGATGTGCTCTCTCGCTCTCCCTATCCCCCTCTCACCTTCTCCCTCTGTCAGCTGTCACTGGCTGCTACTGTAAATTCAATGCGAAAGCAACCCACCCACCCCTAGAACTCAAAACTCATTGAGTTTGGCTTTTGTTCAAGCTCTCGGCTCCTCCTGCTGGCTGCCTGGTGAGAAAATTGTGTTGTGTTGTGGCATTTTTTGGTTGCGAAGGGTCGCCTCGCTACACACACACACACACACACACAAAACTGTTGCCTACTCTCTCTCACTCTATCTATCTTTACCTCCTCCTTCTACTTGACTGTTGGCGCATTAGCTGGCAACCAAAGCCAGACTCAGCTCTACTTCCAGCCATATTGCTGCTGCCTCTGCCTCTGCCTCTCCTACTGCCTCAACTCCTACTACTGATGTTGTTGTTGTTTGCATTTTACCTGCAACGTCGCTTCGCATAAAATGCAATGAACTCGCAATCGGGACTGTCAAGGATGTATGTGTGTGTGTTGTGTGTTTGGCTGTGTGCTCGCCCAATCGCTGTGCATTTTTCCCTATTTTCCGTCTATTTGGCTTTATTTAGACCACACGACTCCCGCACGTCCAAACTGAATCCTGAATGTTGTCCCTTAGCCAGCCACCAAATGCATTTCCATTTAACATGCCAACATTCGAGGGCAATGCGTGGAAAGTTGAAAGCAGGAGCAACGACTGGGGCATGAGCAGGAGCATGGAGCAGCAGTAGCAACAGGAGCAGCAGCGGGAGCAGGAAGAGAGTTGGGGACGGGGACAGGCGCTTTAGCTGGTTGTTAGTTGGGGGAGTTTTGTCTACCGCCCACTTCGCTTAACTTCCACTGCACAACAGCAACAACAATAGCGGCAACAACAACAATACCAACAAATCGCAACCACTTGCAATTGAATTGTTTTTTGGCTGTGCAACAGTTTTATGCAACAATGTAGTAAACTTTAATTGAATTGAAATTTAAATGTATTTACTTATTTCACTGATGTACTTCCTGGTTTTTAGTATATTTAGTTGGTGTATTTTGCTGTATTTGCTTTAATTATGCCTGATGCTCAGTGCTGGAAAAGCACTTAAACAATAAGCGCTGTGCGACAGTGTTAATTAATGCCAGTCAACTAATTGCTGTCAGTGTTGTCTAAATGTAAATGGATTTGTTGTTTAGATCATTGTTGATTAACAATAGATTTTTATTGGAATTTTAAACAATGTTGTTTAGGACATTATTCTGAGCCAATGCATTGCAATGTTAATCAACAAAGTTTGCAATTGTAGACAGTGTTAACAGTGCTGGAAGTGGGTAGTCTCAACCACGACTGATGAAAAGTAAGTAGATATTGTCAAACTTTCGTGATTATTGATAAATAGTAATTAGATATAGAATTTACTAATAGAATTTACTATTTAGCAAATAAGTCAGAGATATTTAAATGAATAAATTTTGATGAACACAGTAGTAGACAGTGTTGGGAAATCAGCAAGTTGAACTTAACAGAGCTCGATGTTGATAGGTAGTAAATAAACCGAATGGCACTACTCAACAAAGTTTTGTGCTTCACGTATTGCAAGTGACGTAAAGAGTGCAAAGGGGTACGTTAAAAATGTAGTGCTATAATTTATATATATATTTTTTTAAATATTTATCACCCAGTTTTTTTGCTGTTGTAAGCGACAATTACTTTTTCCATATACCCGAAATTTACAAGCAGCTGTGCAAATGTGGTTAAAAACTAAGCGAAACTATAATGAAATATTATACAAATGTGTGATGTATGTTGTTACTGTAGCAATTGTTGTTGCTGCTGTTGTGTGTTGCTGTTGTATATACATTGGAAAGTTGCTGCTGTGCGAGCTGCGTCCGCACTGCCCGACTGCGCTTCTCCAGCGGCTGGCTGTCTGTCACCTCTCTTGTGCACTGCCCCGACGTAGCCTCAAACCCTCTCTCCTGCCCCTCACTGACCCCGCTTACCTCTTCGTGCTGAGCAGCGCGGGCGGCTTCGGCGGCTGCCTTTTGAATGATGCTTTGGTTTCATAACTAACCGTTTTTTTTTTTTTTTGTCTTTTTGTATTTCTTTCTCAGTTCCCATTTCTCGGCCCGCCAGCTCCCCCACCGCCGCCTGCTCCACTGTGTGGCATGTTGCAAGTGTAGAGGTAAAGGTACTGTTTACCATTTCCGCTTGTCGCTTCGTCAGACGTCGGCGTGGGTACAATGAAATTTTGGAACGTGAACGTGAACCGAAAGACGAGTCGCGTAGTTTGAACTTTTTTTTTTCTATTTTTTGTAGTTGGGTACGCGTTATATGAGATGCATGTCAACTTTTGGGTAGCTGCCACCGAAATTCATTTACCTAACGGGTTTTTATTTTATTTTTTGCTCGTTTTTTCGGTTAGGTTTATTTTTTTTTCTTGGCTTTTTACGAAATGCGTGCCAAGGAAATAGAAAGTACATAGACCATGAGGGCGATAATAAGAAAACTGTAAAGTTGTAAAAGCCAAAAGACAACTAGAAATTGGCATTATATGGGAAGATGTATGAGTGGGGAGATTGTGGAGCTAGATATCTAGAAATTGCCATTAGATAACAAGATATGTTGGAGGGTGGATGTGGAAGAGGAGGGACAGCTGAGAATTTGAATCATTTAAGAAGAAGAAAAGTGAGGATATAAGAGATAATTTCTAGAAGTTTCCTTTGGATAATATTTCAGGAATTATATGAGTCGGGTTGCAACTGACGAAATTATAAATTAATGATAATTTAGCAATATGAAAATATACTATATGTTTAATTTTCTATTCTTCTCATAAGACTCAAAATTAATATCCAATCAGGAAAAGATTTTGCAAAAGAAATAAAGCAACAAATTTTCAGAAAGATTTACTAAAAGACTTTTAAAGAGATAAGAAAAAGCATGTTAAAGGTGTTGCTGAAAGCATTTGAATATTATATAATAATATATGTATCGACGTGCATACATGTATGTATGTATGTGCACTAATGCACGTTTGAACTTAAGATTAAAAACTATCTATCAACATGTAAAATATAGCTATAGAGCTGCCTAAGGTCTTATTTTTTAGCTTAGGGTGAACTAAAGCGAGCTTAAAGCAGCTTAAGAGTTGCAACAAATATGCTAGCGATTGATTGCAGTTGCAAAAGCAACAGCAACAGCAACAACACTTTTTGTGCTATTGCTAATTGTATCAAATTTTCATTTTGATTTAGATACAGATTACGTACTCTAAGACTTTGCTAGATGCTGTTGTTGTTGTTGTTGTTGTATCTGTTGTTTTTCGAGCGACTGTTGTTGCTTGCATTGCCAGCGGCGGCAGCAGCAGCAGCGGCAGCAACCTGCAATCATTGCAGTCAGAGTTGGAGTTAGTTCGTCAGCAACAGCTCTGTTGGCCTCATTATGTTCAAACATATTTCATATGCCAGCAACAACAAAAGTAACTTTGCTACGTTTTTGCTTGCAGTTGTTGCTGTTGTTGTTGTTGTTGCTGCTGCTGGCTCAGCAATCGCTTGACTGTTGCTGCTGTTGTTGTCATAACTGTGTTTTGTTGTGCTCAGACTTTGGTTGCTGTTGCTGTCCGGTGAAAGTAATCATCAACAACATTAAGCGAGGTAAACAAACTACATACACACACACACACACACACACACATAAAAAGAGGAGTAGAAATAAAAGAGTAGTAGAAAAAAAAAGAAAGAAAGAAAAAGAGTTACACTCGCCAAAAGACTATTTGAGGCGGTGAGTCGAGCTGAGTCGCGCCGAGTCGAGTCGAGTCTTTGACCAGAGCCATAGACAGAACGCGGCCCTCTGTCTGTGCTAGGGAATTCCAGCAGCTGCAGCGCCGCCCCCTCTTGCCGGTGCCCCCTGCTGGAAAGGTTGAAGAACCACAAAGAGATACGATTATGATGATTTCTAATTGAAAAACTCAGCAGCGCGCTTAAATGTGTCCAGCAGAGGAGACAGAGCAAGCGAAGATGTTGGAGCACAAAGAAACAACAAAACCAAAGAAGAGAAAAAGCGGAGAGGGAGAAAGAGAGAAAAAATGAAACGAAATTTCATTAAAACGTTTGCACAAATAAAATAAGTGCTGCAAAAAGCAAAAAAAAAAAAAGAGTAGCAAAGCAGCAGCAGCAACAGCAACGGCAGCAACAACAACAACAACAACAACAACAACAACGACAGCAAAAGAAACTGAAACGAGGTCAACTGAGGTCAACACATTTTATGTACCGAACCCGAACTACTTCATACTCTACTAAATATTTGTATGACGACGACGACGGCGACAGCAGCGACGCTGGCAGAGATTCAGATTCAGTTATGGCGCGCTTAAGTGTGTAAGTATGTGTGTGAGTGTGCAAGAGAGGGAACTGCAGCCAGCGTTGGGCTTGGAAGGCAGCGTCGCTCGTATGCATAAGCCGAGGGCAGGGCTCGGCTCGTCAACGGGCAGCGGGCAGCGGGTAGCGGGCTGCAGCAACTAAATCAAACAAAAGGCAAACAGCAAAAAAAAAAAGTGGAGCGAAAAGGCGACGGGGCGACAACGCGTTTGGGGAGCGTTCGCTGCGCTTCAATTGAGTTTTACATACATAGATTTCAGCTTTAGACTTGTAGTAGTTGCTGTTTGTTGTTGTTGTTGTTGTTGTTGCTGCTGTTGCTGAGTTGATTTGATTTCCAACTATTTGAGGGCAGCGACGGCGACAAAATGGACACAGCAGCAACAACAACAACAACAACAAACAGCGCAAAAAACTCGTTCGCTGCGAGTCACTCGCATTGACTAACTGAATTGTTGTTGTTGTTGTTGTTGTAAATTCGCCTCATGACTTGGCAAATGCGCTCGCCAACATTATCGTCTTGACCATCTCGTGAACTTCATTTGCAAACGTTTCGAGCAACATTTGTGTGGCTTACATGTGGGGTGGGCGCAGCAGCGGGGCGAACGCTGAGCGCCGTGGAGTGCAGAGTGAAGGCTGCTGCTGCTGCTGCTGCTGGGCAGCCAACATAATTCATTTGTATTGCTGGTGCTGCCGCTGCTGCTGCTGCTGCTGCTGTTGGCACAGCAAGTGTTGCCAACTTTATGGCATTTACAAATACAATCACATTTGTAGTTGAGCCGCTGTTGTTGTTGGCTTCTTTGGCATTAGCTTTGCCGTTATTTTTGCAATTGCCGCGCTGCTAGAGATGAGCACTCACAGCTAACTGTTGGCCAAGTGCGCAACTAATTTGCATTTGTTGGGCGTCTTCAATAGCTGGCTGCTGCCTCTGCCGCTGCCGCCGCAGCTGCTGCTGCTGCTGCGAAAGCCAGCTAAACGCAATTCAATGGCCAACAATAACAATTCGGACAGTTAAGCTGTTACGCTAGAAAGAGTTTCAGTTACTATGCCCTGCCAAATAGTTGAAGCTTATTTGTAGAATGCTTACATAATATAAGCGGAAACAATGGAAAAGGTTTTCAATGTAGTCGAAAGAGACAGAGAGATAGCGAGAGAGACTGAGAAAGAAAGGGAGAGCCAAAGAGTGAAGATACGAGTGACATTTTTGATTAAACAGCTTGTTATGATATTATGAGCAATAAAAGGAATTGTAAGTTAATCTAAATGCCTAAATTTGAAACTCCCTGTTCATAAGTAACAACGAAACAAGTAAGAGAAAAACACACATAATATTGGTAAATATCTCACTCAATTTCTATAGCCCTTCAATCGAAACACACTCGAGCTGATCGCATTATGTGTGAGTTAGTCGTTAAAGTGCGGCAGCTGATGCTCGAGGCTCCCCAACTGCACAATTATTGACACGTGCGCGCCTCCACATCGAGAAGGAACAAATGTCCTGGCCACAGATGCATTTCCGGCGAATTCAGCTGTTGGTCCTCGATGTGAGAGTCGGGTCTGTGCCTGCCTGCTGTTTGTTGTCGATATTATCTGCAATTAAATACTCAATGCACAAAGCAGCAAGCGGGACAAAACAAGTAAAAATTTCAATAACTAAAAACGCACATGTCCTGCGGCCAGGACATCAACAATGATCATCATAATCATCGTCATGAACATGTCGATGATCATCCAGTTCGAGCAGATGTTACAGTGACTCGCACAAAAAACTGTTGGAGCGCGTCCTTTTCCAGTATCCTGCGCCCTTTTTACTTTTTTGTTGTTTCTTTCGTTTTTGGCTGCCTACACGCTGCGCC